CTTAATAAAATCAAGCAGTCCTTAAGACAGCGCTATTCGACTGTTATAAAATAATTCAATCCTTTTAGAATTTCTTTTTGCTACTTGGGCTAGTAGTGCTCAGGATGTAAAACAGTGAACTGGATGAAAATATGTAAAAAAGGACGACTGCACTGGATGCTTTATTCACTCTGAGTGATTCATTTCGATGCAAGTACATTAAAAGTGGTACAGTGTAAATCCTGCTTAGTTTTTTTGGGGGATATGGGAAAGCCGTTGAATCTCTATCGGTTTTGGTGTAAATAAACAAGCTGACGTCATCTTTTCTCCCATGGGGGACGGGGGTTAAAGAGGAGAGGGGGGAGGGGTGCCGGAATCAGCAACAAGTGTGACGTTACCGCAAATGCACCGGTGGCACACGCACACAGATCAACCTTTGACAGAGCCGGTGCATCTTGCGAAAACGTCGAACAATCTGAGCCATTTAAATGCGTGAGCATTTTATGAAATTCGTACGATTTATGATGTCGAATCTTAAACTCTGGTCTATTTAAAAAAATATTTTATATTTATTTAAGATTCGAAAAAAAACGGCGTCAAAGATCGCTGGGGAATGACAATCGATGATACTTTTGGCGAGGGCAATCTCTAGAGGTCATTTACTAAAAATTGACATAAAATTAACACTAATTATAGAAAAATTAAAAACGGATAGAAAGTTTCTAGACTTACAAATCTATTTCGAAAAAAAAATATTTTTTTCTGGAATTTTAAACTATATATACTATCTAAAAATCATTTTTACTCAATAGAAAAAGAAATTACAACCTTTTTAAGGCCAACTGACAGTAACAGACATTAAAAAATAGAGGTTAGGAGTACGTCTAGGTTTTGACCTCATCATAATTGTTATTCCCTGTGCATTTGTACCTGCACGAAGTTACGGCTCTTCCTGACACTTAGACACGTCTTGATAAAAAATCTTTTAAGAAACACGACAAAAAAAAAGTCATCTTTATATTAATTAATAATACAATATGATCGTGAAAAAGACACGACGTCAGCGATGGCTATGAAATGAAGATTGCTGTCATCTTTTAAATTATATGGGGAATATCCCACTTCTGATATAATTGGAAATGTCATTGATAGTCATTTTTAAGCCAACTGGACGACTTTTTCTCTCAACGTAGAACTTTTTCTAATGCATACAGTATGACAAATAGAATTCGTTTATGAAAAAAACTAATTTTGGAGAATTTGGAACTTAGACCGTTTGGGAATACAACGCTTTAATTATGGGCCGATTATTTTATGAAATTCGTACGATTTATGATGTCGAATGTCGAGTTGAACTCTGGTCTATTTTGAAAAATTACTTTAAATTTATTTAAGACAAATTCTGTTTAACCGAAAAAAACGGCGTCAACACGGGAGTGACAATCAATGATACTTTTGGCGAGATCAATCTTTATACGACATTTACTAAAAATTGACATAAAACTTAACACTAAACCACACTAATCAAAGTCAAAAATTAACACTAATTATACAGGATGTCCCTGATAAGTGCAAGTATTTTAACTGGTGGTAGATTTCAATAAAAGAAACATATTATATTATATATAAGTCCAAAATAACGGAGTTATTTTACTTTGAAAATTTCCAAAAAAATGATGTTTTGCTAAAATTTTGAGAACCACTTCTGTTTTAATATAAGTTCGATTTCATTCTTTCATAGATGATTAATATTAATTCTGATTAATGTCATATTGTTTGCTGTTGTTAAAGTATCATATTTTCCATTTTTTTCAATAACAACTATCATCCCCTTTCCGCATCATTCTACTAAATAAATTTTGTGCTTCATTAACATTTTAAAACATCAAAAAATACAACGTTAATTAAAATTCTATGAATAAAAATCTATTACAGAATGAAAACGAAATTATATTACAACGCGTTTTGATTTTTAGCACTTATTTAACCATATTTTCAAGTTTTTTTTGTTAAATTTTTCTTAAAAACACGACAGTCATGTATCAATTAATAATACAATATACAGGGTCTACCAGAAATAAGTGCAAGTATTCTAAGGGGTGGTAGATCTCGATAAAAGAAACATATTATTTTCTCTTTAGCAAAAAAATGATTTTTTGCTAAAATTTTGAGAACCACTGTTTTTTTTCCGGATTTTCTTTTTTGTAAATTGAATCTAATACCTATGTTGCCATATTATCAAGAAATTATGTTTTTTAACTAAAAACTAAAAAAAAATTCCAAACAATTTTTCAAAAAAATTCGAATTTTCAAAAATAAATTTTCGCGAATAAAACCTGATAGGCGTGTATCTGGGGTTGACTAAACTACCAGTTAAAATACTTGCACTTATTTCTGGGACACCCTGTATACTATCTAAAAATCATTTTACTCAATAGAAAAATAAATTACAACCTTCCTAAGGCCAACTGCCAGTAAAAGACATTAAAAAATAGACATTTTTTATGACAAAATGACAATGACAAAATATTCGCCATGCATTTGTACCTGCACCTTTGAAGTTATGGCTGTTCCTGACACTTAGACAATAGATAAAAAAATATTTTAATAAACACGACAGTCATCTATTCTATTAATTAATAATACAATATGATCGAAAAAAACACGACGTCAGCGATGGCTATGAAATGAAGATTGCTGTCATTTCATATTTTAAATTATATGGGGAATATCCCACTTCTGATATCAATGGAAATGTCATTTATCGTCATTTTTAAGCCAACTTGACGTCGTTCTTTCGATCATACGGTATTTCGACATCATATATCAACGTAGAATTTGGCACTTAGACCCTTTGAGAATACCACGCTTTATTTGTGGTACTTAGGTGTAAAATTCTTTAATTTAAGCATTTTCTTCAATGACAAAATCACAAAAAAGATTTAAAAGATATTTTAGGAGCGTTATTCCCAGATTTAAGCGGGCTTTCCACCGACACTAGCGTGTGTTGGTTAGGGCAAAGGCCCGCAAAAACATCATCAAGTAATAATAGAGTGGAACGGCGGTTCTGGCGCGTGGAAAATTCCTCGCGACGGGAAGTCCCGGATCGATAGGGGCCGCCGCTATAGCCAACGAACCAGCAACGGCCAACGGTGGTAGGGCCTAAAAACAGACCAATACCACCTCAAATACCCAGGCTTACTCTGGCCTACACAACTCTGTGTCAAAGTTTACAGAATAAAATATTGTGACGCCTTTAGACTTTACAGGCTTTAGATGCCAAGATCACGTTAGATTACGCAGGGTGTCCCAGAAATAAATGCAAGTATCTTAAGAGTTCATTTCACTAGTCTGAAAAAGTAGCAAAATAAGCGTTCGGCATTTAACGTTTTATGTAAAACTGGCTAGGTATTTTTACACAAATGAAGAAAGAAATTAAAGATAAAGGATTATACTATGACGGTATTGTAGTAAATTTTTAGATAACTTCTTTATTTTTAAGATTTTGATGATCAAACATCAACAAAATATACCTTATGTTTGGACTAAATTTTCTCGAAAATAAAGACATAATTTAAAATTCCGTTACAATACGGAAATAGATTGAAGTTTTGTGATTACAGTGGTATATAATTTATATGGTTTTCTAACAAATTGCTCACTACTTTATGGTAAATGCTGAAAATGCTGCTCTGCAAACCTTAATCAAAGCCTTAATCAAAGCACATATGTATTCTTTCGTTGAACAGACTATACAGGGTGTAGGCTATTCCTGATATGTACATGAGATTATGCATTAGTTTTTCACAAGTACACTACGCAAAAACTGGTGCACTTAATAAATTTAATTATCATTTTTTAAATGTTATTTTTAAATTTCCATACGGCATTAAAATGTTTCATATCCAGAACGTTAAATAAATCCCAGTATAGAATACAGTTCCTGTTATCTGTGACGCTAGAGTAATATCTGATGATAACTTCTAATCAGTCCTAATTCAAAGCCTGCCAGAAGTTTTTTAAATCGTGTTTTTGATATCTACCAGCCCAGGTTAATAAAATTGTTCTAAACTTTGCAATAAATAAGTAATTATCACTTTAATCTGCTATCGATAAAACTCTTTTACCCTTATTTTTAAATAATATCATAAAATTTTTGATAAATCCAAGCATAAAATATTCAAAAAATTAAAACAAAAATACTTTTGGCGACATCTAGTTAAAATATTTCTAATTGTTCTCCATCCCGACATCTATTAACGATGTCTCTTATTAATATATTTGCATAGTGCTGCCCTCTGGACGATAGTAGCGAAACCCGAAACGTCAAATCGTGACATTTAAATGAACGACCGGTAAGGTCGCATCGTTTTTTGTGTTTAGTGATGTGATTTCAGAGTGTTTCCAGGAAAAAGTAACAATTTACCGTTAATTATTTGTTGTTTATCGAATTAAGGTGAGTAATCTGCTAATACGATGTGCACTTGCTAATACTTTAGCCCTGAAACGGATGGTTTTGTTGTAAATTCGGCGTTTTCATTAAAAACACCGTCCTCCATAAGGAGGACCGTGTAGGTCATGGTACTTATGTCAAAACACAATTTTCATTATTGGCACGTTTGCACGTGTGTTTTAAATACTTATAAACCATTTTTCGCAACATTACAACAAATGTATTGCAGTAAATTAACTGCAATCCCCCGAAAATGGGATATTTTTTGTCTGTCCTTTGCAAACGTGATTCAATGGCTTTCCTAAACTTCTTGATGACATTTCAACTTATTTTGTCCACATTTTTTAAATTATTTTCACTAAATTTCCCTTTTCCGGTGTTTTTATGAACTTGTTACAGCTATTTCTAGCTTTCTTTCGGTTTTTGCGCGTTTTTTCAGTTATAAAAGCTTCTTGGAGTTGCCCTAACCTTACTTTATTTACTTTAGTTATTTGAGTAGAATTTTTAAAGTTTTTTTCTTGCAGTTTATTTATATTGTTCAGTCGATAAACGTTTAAATTTCAGGATTTAAATATTCTTAAATTCTAGCCTGGATTAGAGGAATCTTCGTTGTTATGATAGGAATCTATAATCTTTAACAAATTTTGATAATAATATATTGCAGGTGCCAAAAGTTTGCACTCTCACGCAGGCAGTTTAAATTTAGAAATGGATTGAATCGTATTAAAATAGACTATTTTTTTCACTAATTATTATTCCTTTGTGGTCAGTGATTTAAATTGGCACATTCAAGAGGTATAATGACCTAGGAATGAATTTGTCTTTATTGGTAACTTTTACAGGAGTGCTTTCTACTTATTTTCAAACTTAATACCTTAATAATCTGTCAGATGATAGTATACTTTGAATCTTTCATATCTAAGTTATTGGAAACATAATTTTAATGTCTTTTTGCAGTGTTGTTGGAGTAAAACTATGCACAATATAAATCTAGAGGGTCAATATGCTAATGCTAACGGGGGACACAATCCAGAAAAAGTGTGCATTTTAGATGCGGGAGCTCAGTATGGAAAGGTAATAACATAATTATTTTTGGTAATATGTCTATGGAGGAATAAGAAAGTGATTTATAGTCTTTTGTAGTTAAGTCACTGATACAATCCTCCGAAATCAAACGATTCTTGGAACAACTAGAGACTGTAAAGACTTAAACCTCTAGCTACACCAAGAATAACATTTTATATTCCTCATTTATTATAAGGACACTAAATTTGTATTTACTTTTTTTTTAAGGTTATCGATAGGAGAGTTAGGGAATTATGTGTTGAATCGGATATTTTACCGTTAGACACTCCCGCCTTCAATATCAAGGAAGCCGGATACAGAGCTATTATAATATCAGGGGGGCCTAGCTCCGTTTACGCCGAAGATGCCCCCCGGTATGATGCAGACATTTTTAGGATAGGAATTCCCGTTTTAGGTATCTGTTACGGCATGCAGATGATGAACAAGGAATTTGGGGGCACGGTACAGCGAAAAGAGTGTAGGGAGGATGGTCAGTTTCCTATAGAAGTTAATGTAAAGTGCTTGTTATTCAAGTGAGGTTGAAAGAACTATATAAAAAATAAATTTACTTGAAAAAAATACTTTTTAGAGGTCTAGATAAAACACAAGAAGTGCTTCTAACGCATGGGGATTCCATTGATAAGGTAGCGGATAATTTTAAACCTATAGCTCAATCTCAGGCGTTCATAGCTGGTATTAGTAATGAAAAAATGAATTTGTATGGTGTTCAGTTTCATCCAGAGGTAAGAAAATGTATTTTATTCATAATTATAACCTTAGACCATATTATACATAGACACAGGTTTTTGTTGGCATCATGTAACCAACATAAATTCTAATTTGACGTCACGTCAGGGCAAAATTTTGGGTAAATATTGTTTCTAGGCAAAAAAGTCTTCATTTTACTATTTTACGTCTTTGGGTAGTAGATATATTAAAAAGTTTGTGTAGGTTGATATATTTAAAATTTTATAAATTTAACATATTTTTAACGTTAGACTATGTAATACATAGACACACATTGTGGGCGTTTTTTTTTGTAGCCAAGATAAACTTTGATTTTGCGTCACTTCAGGGTAAGAAATTATATGACTACTATTTACTATTTTTATATCTTTAAAATGGAGGTTTTAATATATTTTTTTATATGTAATTTTTATATCGCTTTCCTGTCAAAAATTTCAGTGGTAGACACAGTAAATCTAAAACATATTTTTTTCTAGGCCTACTGTGACATTTTTTTTAATTTTATTACACTATATTTGTTTGGTATTTCAGATACTTTGCAAATTTTTAACCTTAGACCATATAATACCTAGACACATCCTATCCACGGCGTTTTGTAGTCAACATAAACTTTTTTTAAATTTGACGTCATTTCAGGGCAAGAGGTTATGTTATTATTATTTACTATTTTCTTATCTTTAAAATGGCGGTTAAATGTTTTTTTTAATTGTAGTTGTAATAAATCTTCAAGTAACTTGCTTTGCTGTCCAAAATTTCAGTGATAGACATAGTACAGCTAAAAATAATTCTTTTCTATGCCTACTGTGACACCTATTTTCACTTTGTTACATCAAATTTAATATTTTATGTACTTTGCAAATTTTTAACCTTAGACTATCTAATACCTAGACACTTTTTATCCGCGATGTTATGAAGCCAACATAAATTTTGTTTTGACGTCATTTCAGGGCAAGAGATAATATTATTATTTATTACGTTTCTTGCTCTAAAGCGGCTGTTTAAATATGTATATTTTATTTATATTGTATTTGTAATTTTCAAAAAGGTCTTCAAGTAACTTGTTTTTTAAGCTGTCAGAAATTTCAGTGATAGACATAGTAAAGATAGATTTTCTTTTTCTACGCCTAGTGTTACATTGTTATCATTTCATTACACTAGATTTAATATTTTAAATATTTTGTAAAATTTTAACCTTAGACCATGTAGTGCCTAGACACACCCTATGCACATCATTATGAAGCCAACATAAATTATGATTTGACGTCACTCCAGGGCAGTTTTCTTTATATTTTTTCCAGCTTCAAGATTGTATTGTAGTTGTAATTTTGTTTTAGGTCGACCTCACTCTAAACGGTAAAATAATGTTAAGAAATTTTCTTTTTGACATTTGCGGGCTGACTGGAAATTTTACCATACACGGTAGAGAGGAACAGTGTGTTAAATATATTAAGGAAACTGTTGGAAATAATAAAGTAAATTTATAGATTAAACCCGTTTTTTTTAGAATTTTTTTATTTTTTATTGTCTTTTTGTAGGTGCTCCTTTTGGTAAGCGGTGGAGTTGACAGTACGGTTTGCGCAGCGTTGTTTCACAAAGCCCTGAGGCCGGACCAAATCATAGCCATTCACATAGACAACGGTTTCATGCGGAAGCACGAGAGCGCTAAGGTTCACGACTCCTTGCAGAAGATAGGGTTGAATTTGAGGGTAATCAAGGCGGCCGCGACGTTCTCAGAGGGCAGTACCGTAGTTCCTATAGACAAAGAAGGTTAGTAAGGTTTCTATTGTTACAGATTCTTTGGATTCTTATATTTAAACGCACTATAACGTACTAGTATAGTCTATAAAATGAATAACTTTGAATTGTGACTGTTATTTTTTACCAACATGGCAAATATAAAATCCCTCTGTCAAAAAAGTTACTGATATTCTTTAAATTCAGTGCCTGAACGAATCAGATAGGTAACTCTGTTTACTTTCGTGAAATAGAAAAGGAAAATAATAAAACAAGTGACAGTTCTTCCCCTTCTTGCAAAAATCAACACAAAATGTCATAATTGTCAAAAGTAAAATGTCATCAGCTTTTGACATTTCTAAGTCAAATTCAAAGTTATTCGTTTCACAGACTATAGTCGTTTATTAAATCATTAAAATCTACAATACAGGGTGGTCCGAATGTATTCCGAAAACTTCGGCAGTATATTCTGCATATAAAAATAAGTAAAAAAGTTCGTATAAATATATGTCCTAAAATGCTTAGTTTTGGAGACACAGGGTGTAAAAAATCACGGAAATGTACATTTTTTTCACTCAGTAGTTTTATACAGGTACGGACGAAAAGTTATTACTCTTCAAAACAGTTAAAACAAATGTAGGTGGCGCCCCCTATAATTAGGAGTCATATTGACATCAAAATCAAATTTCTCACAAACACCCAAGCACCAATTTTCATCCAAATATTGACTTTCCTTCAGAAATTATTTGGAAAAAATCGAAATAAAAATGAAACTTCTACACCCTTTATCTCTCTCTTTTTTACTTATTTTTATCTGCAGAATATGCTGCTGAAGTTTCCGGAATACATTTTGAACCACCCTGTATACTACTTTTTTTCTGAATTTTCGTTTTTAGGCAACGCTAGAACGCGAGTAACGAAAATGCTGTGTCAAACGATAAACCCAGAGGAGAAACGTAAAATAATAGGCGATATTTTCGTTAAAATATCTGATGAAATTATAGCAGACCTCAAATTAAAACCGGAAGAAGTCCTGTTAGGTCAGGGCACGTTAAGGTAACGCATAATTAATGTTATATCAATTTACTTGTAATAGTCCTTGTTTTTCTGTGTTCTAGACCGGACCTAATCGAGTCAGCTTCAACCTTAGCATCGGGAAAGGCTGATACCATCAAAACCCATCATAATGATTCGGGTTTGATCAGGAAACTTAGAGATGAAGGAAGAGTAGTGGAACCTTTGAAGGATTTTCATAAAGATGAAGTAGGTTTTTTTAATCTCTTGCAAAAGAAATTGTTGATTTTTTTATATTTTCCATAAAAAAAATTCCACATAATTTCCTATGTTCACTCTAGAAGTAAATGTAGGAAAGTAGCTCATGTTTGCTCTAAAAGGGAATAATTTCCTATGTTCAATTCTAGAGATTTCTTATGTATACTTTAGAAACGAATATAGTATTTTTGTTTGTTCTAAATTCCTAAAAAATAATCACTTCTTTGTTTACTGTAGAAGTGAACATAGGAAAGTTTCCTGTGTTCATTGTAAAAAGAGACACAATTTCTTATGTTCACTCTAGAGGTAAATATAAAAGTATGAAAGTAGTTCATGTTTACTTTAAAAGGGGATAATTTCCTATGTTCAGTTCTAGACAGAATAGAGGAAAGTCTTTATTCCAGAAATGTGCACTTTCATTTGTTCACTTTAGAAGCAAATACAATGATAAATTCAATGTTTACTGTAAAATTATACAATTTCTTATGTATACTTTAGAAATGAATATACTATTTATGTTCACTCTAAATTTGTAAAAAATAAACACTTTTTTGTTTACTGTAGAAGTGAACATAGGAAAATATTTTGTATCCATTCTAAAAGGAGACTATCTAAGAGGGAATAGCTTCCTATGTTCACTTCTAAAAAAGACACAATTTCCTATGTTCACTCTAGAATTTCTTATGTTCACTTTCCTATGTTCACTCTAGAAGTAAATGTAGGAAAATAGTTCATGTTTATTCTAAAAGGGAATAATTTCCTATGTTCAATTCTAGAGAGAACAGAGGAATGTTTTTATTCTAGAAATGTGCACTTTAGAATTTAGCACACTGTAGAAGTGAACATAGGAAAATTTCCTGTGTTTGTTCTAAAAAGATACACAATTTCCTATGTTCACTCTTGAAGTAAATATAGGAAAGTAGTTTATGTTTGCTCTAAAAGGGAATAATTTCCTATGTTCAGTTCTAGAGAGAATAGAGGAAAGTCTATTCTAGAAATGTGCACTTTCATTTGTTCACTCTAGAAGCGAATACAATGAAAAATTCAATGTTCACTATAAAATTGGACAATTTCTTATGTGTACTTTGGAAATGAATATAGTATTTTTGTTTATTCTAAATTCCTAAAAAATAAACACTTTTTGTTTATTGTAGAAGCGAACATAAAATGTCCTGTGTTTTTTTTTCCTAAAAGAGACACAATTTCCTATGTTCACTCTAGAAGTGAACATAGGAAAGTAGTTTATGTTTACTCTAAAACGAATAATTTCCTATGTTTAGTTCTAAAAAACGACACAATTTCCTATGTTCGCTCTAGAAGTAAATGTAGGAAAGTAGTTCATGTTTACTCTAAACGGGAATAATTTCCTATGTTCAGTTCTAGAGAGAATAGAGGAAAGTTTTTATTCTAGTAATGTGCATTTTAGAATTTAGCACACTGTAGAAGTGAACATAGGAAAATGTTATGTTCGCTCGCGAAAAAACCTATGTTCGCTCTAGAAGTAAATGTAGGAAAATGTCCTATGGACACCCTGAAAAGCAAAAATTTGAAAATATCTTTTGTGTTGATGTATACCAACTCAAGATTAGGATTTTTTGGATAGTACGACATTTAATTTGGTTTCAGGTTAGAGTTATAGGTAAAGATTTGGGTTTGCCCGCCGAAATAGTGATGCGACATCCCTTCCCCGGTCCGGGGCTGGCCATAAGAGTTCTGTGCGCGGAAGAACCTTATATGGAGAGGGACTTCTCCGAAACGCAAGTGCTAGTCAAGATTCTGGTGGAGTTCGATCAGATGCTGCAGAAGAAACACGCGTTGCTCAACAGGGTGGAAGCTGTCACGACAGACGATGAAAGGTAAGCCGATTTTTTAGGTTAGATTATGCAGGGTTAAGTTGTTCAGGTTTTCTGTCATCGTCTGTCGAACCTTCCCTGAGATGTGAAACAGAGTATATGTTTGTCCGATTTCAGGACGTGTCTTCGACGAATATCGTCCAAACAGCGTCTAGCAGCCACCCTACTTCCCATACGCACCGTAGGCGTCCAGGGCGACTGTCGCACTTACTCGTACGCGGTCACCGTGTCCAGCGAGAAAGAACCCGACTGGCAGGACATCTTGTTCCTCTCCAGATTGATGCCTAGGGTGTGCCGAAACGTCAACAGGGTGTGCTACGTGTACGGAGGCATCGTGAAGGAGCCCCTGCCGGACGTGACCCCCACTTACCTCACCGGCAACGTGCTGGCTACGTTGAGGCAGTGCGACGACGTGGCTATGACGGTAGGTCGATATAATCATATCGCATTTATTAAACCTAGAATTAGTACAGTTTATCTTTTAGGAAATTTTAAATTAAGTATGAATTAATTACTTCCTATGTTCACTTGTGCACTGAACATAGGAAAGTGTACGACAACTTTCCTATGTTCTTAAATAATTTCTTATGTTCACTTCTACAGTGAACATAGGAAAGTTTTAATGAAATGAGATAATTTCTTATGTTTACTTTAAGAATGAACATAGGAAAATATTTTTGAGTTATGTTCAAAATTAAAATAAAAACACTATATTAAACCTCTGTAAATATTTTCTCTTGGTTAGTGCTATTTATATGGCTATATTTTAAGAAATTTTCATAAAGTATGAAAATTAATGCTTTTTAAGGGGGTTCATTCATAGAAATTACACTTTTCCATGTTTACCCTAGAAGTGAATATAGGAAATGTTTATAAAGGGACAATTTCTCGATAAATATAATCATATCGCATTTATTAAACCTAGAAAATTCAATGTTCAATAATTCTTAGATTATTACTTCGTATTTGATAGTTCAATAATACTCATAATTTCTTATGCTTACTTTAAAAGTTAACAGTATCCTATTTTTACTTTGTACAGTGAGACACGTTTTTGAACACTTTCCTATGTTCTTTCTTAAAACACTTTCTTATGTTCACTTCTACAGTGAACATAGGAAAGTGATAATGAAAGGGGGCAAATTCCTATGTTTACTTTAAGAGTAAACATTGGAAAATATTCTTGAGTTATGTTCAAAGTTAAAATAAAAACGCTATATTAAACCTCTGTAAATATTTTCTCTTGGTTAGTGCCATTTATGTTTTTATCTTTTAAGAAATTTTCATAAAGTATGAAAATGAATGCTTCTTAAGTTCATTTGTACAAATAACACTTTTCCATGTTTACCCTAGAAGTGAACATAGGAAGTTGTTCTATGTTTACTCTAAAAGGGGACAATTTCTTATGTTTACTCCTGAAACATAGTTAAAATGGAACAATGTACTATGTTCTCTCTAGATGTAAACAAGTAAACATGAAAAACATGTGAAAGTGTGTTATGATGTTTACTCTAAACAGAGAGAATTTTCTATGTTAGCTTTGGAAGTGAACATAGGAAAGTATTCGCTAAAATGGGACAAATTTCAAACTCTGAACGTAGGAAAATTTTTTTGTTTACTTGAAAATGGACAATTTCCTATGTTCACTTCTAAAGTATTCTGTTTAATCAAGAGGGGACAGTTTCTTATATTATCTCTAGAAATGAACATAAGAAAGTATTCTACGGTCATTCTAAAAAGAGACAATTTCTTATGTTCTCTTTTTGAATGCACATGTGTGAAAGTGTTCTATATTTACAATCAACAGGATACAATTTCCTATGTTCTCTTTAGGGATGAGCATAGGAAGTTCTTCTATGTTTACTCTAAAAGGGGACAATTTCCTATGTTTACTTCTAAAACATAGTTAAAATGGAACAATGTACTATGTTCTCTCTAGAAGTAAACATGAAAAACATGTGAAAGTGTGTTATGATGTTTATTCTAAAGAGGGAAAATTTTCTGTTTGCTTTGGAAGTGAAAGGAAAGTATTCGTTAAAATGGGACAAATTTCAATCTCTGAACATAGGAAATTTTTTTTGTTTACTTGAAAATGGATAATTTCCTATGTTCACTTCTAAAGTATTCTGTTTAATCAAGAGGGGACAGTTTCTTACATTTTCTCAGGAAATGAACATAAGAAAGTATTCTACGGTCATTCTAAAAAAGGACAATTTCTTATGTTCTCTTTCTGAATGCACGTATGAAAGTGCTCTGTATTTACAATCAACAAGATACAAATTCCTATGTTCCCTTTAGGAGTGAACATAGGAAACTTTTTTGAATTACGCTGCTCACACAGCTAAAAAAGAAAAAGCTACAAATATCGTCTTTTACCAGGTGTTGCAAAATTCCGGACACATGGCTTCAGTGAGCCAAATGGGCGTGATACTGATCCCTCTGCACTTCGACAGAGACCAAGCGCTTAGAATACCCTCCTGTCAACGATCGGTGGTGATACGGCCGTTCTGTACTCAAGATTTCATGACGGGCCGGGCGGCGGTACCCGGCAAAGATCTCCCAATAGACGTAAGTACCGATTAGTACCTTTTTGATCTCGGTAAAATAAGTAAACCAGCGTATTTGTCGATAAAACCGCAGAACTATAGCGGGTCAAATGCGGTATAGTTACGGGAGAAGAACTATATATCTCTCTATAGTGTATTTTGTGTTTTGAAAGATGTTCGTATTTTATATTGTTTTCCTATCCTTCTTATTTTTTCCGAAACGCTTCGTATGTATGGAATTGTAAGTTGTATATATTGTGTATTGTTATCATTGTGTGTATTTTGTGTATGATTTAGGGTTTGTATTTCGTTTAATGTTTTGTCAATAAAAGATGGTGGATAGTGGTTTTTTATTAATGAAGAACTTATATAAAGTGACATTTTACCGATAATCTAAATTCCTTTTCAGGTCGTTCAGAAGATGGTTCAGGAAATCGAAAAAGTGCCCGGCATTTCCAGGGTGCTGTACGACGTGACGTCGAAGCCGCCCGGCACCACAGAGTGGGAATGATCGTGAGCGTGATAGGCAGTGGCGCAGGATATTCGTTTTTATTTTTCCTATTGTAATTTGTTACTTCGTCGGCCGGTTTTAGCGTAGAAGCGATATCTCGAAGCGCGGACACGTGTATCTTTTGGAGGAAAAAATAGAATTCCAAAAAACAGTTTGGGATATCTTTTTTTATCATTAAAAATCGATTTTTCTTGAGGGTTAAACCGCTCATTATTATTGCTACGTAATAATACTGCTACTTTTTTAAGATTGCGCGTGGATGAGTATAAAAGTGACGTCAGAGAATATGCAACCAACAATTCACCCATTTCTAAAGAAAGCACTTAAAAGATATAGATGTTTATTTATTATGTTGTTAAATATAATTATTCTACCTTGAAATAAATAATAAATTTTACTACTATTTTTCTATTTGTTTTTCTGCGTTGGTGTTTTATATGCATATTTTCTGGCATTCTATTATTTTTAACTTCTATGGGAAGTGATTATTTTTTTCAAAATTTAAATAAACAACATTTCAAAAAAAATAAATCTTAGAATCTCAGAGCATAAAATACATAGAAACGTGTTTTTCTGCACGTCCCACTGTAGCCAATACAGGGTGTCCCAGAAATAAGTGCAAGTATTTTAACTGGTAGTATATTTCGGGCTCAGAAACGCGTGAGGTATTTTTTGTGAAAAACATTCTTGATAATATGGCAACATAGGTAGTAGATTAAATTTACATGAAAGAAAATCCAGAAAAGATCCAGTGGTTGTCAAAATTTAAGTAAAAAAGCATTTTTTGTTTAAATTTTCACAGTAAAATTACTCTTTGATTTTGGACTTACTTGAAAAACGGTAAAGAAAAAAATGTTTCTTATGACCCGATCTACCACCCCTTAAAATACTAGCACTTATTTCTGGGACACCCTGTATAATATTGATAACACGTCATCTTTTAAAAATAATTAAAACGTTTTACTAAACTGTTAAATATCGAACTTGTTTTAAATTCTGCCGAATTTTTTAATGTGAAATATAAAAACAAATTAACATCTAACCTTAGACTATGTAACAACTAGACCCATCTTTTTTTTTTTCAATCTTTTGTAGCCAACATAATAAATATCGACTACCATCATTTTAAGGTAAAAAAAACTTAGGATTTAAAAAAAGGACTTATGCGATGTAAAGCAGTACTTGGGTCTAATTGGTAAGCTTCATATATTTTAACGTCTTTTTAATTTTAGACCCGAGGATGACGTCACAAGTGGGCAGTATTGTTTCACGCGCAAACTTAAAAAAATTCGAGTGTATAGCTTTAACAATTGATAACAAAATATGTAAATACAGACCATCTGTCTTAACTGGGAAATCTTTGATTTTTTTGTGAGCGACTTATAGTCATATATGCGCATCTCATGTATTTATGTCATCAAACAGCGGCATGTCGAGAAACTACCGGTATTTCATGAGGCCTAATCTAACCATTGACTTGTATCGGGGATTTGTATCGGGGCGATTAAGTAAAAACGGCGTCATAATAGGCACAGAACTCATAATTATAGATTTTCTTCGCAAAAAATGTTCAAAATCGCAAAGCTCGACTTAAATGCTATTTCTACGCCTACTGTGACGTCAATTTTATTCGATCAAACGGTATACTAGAACCAGTCAAAATATGACATTTTTATTGTCCCATATGATCGAAAATAAAACCGCGTCCAGTTGGTTTGAAAATTACTTCTAAAGATAGCCATCGCTGACACCGTTTTTTTTTCGATCATACCGGTAGATTTGCTTTATATTTCAGTTTATTACTATAGTCTATAAAATGAATAACTTTGAATTTTGACCGTTATTTTTTACCAACATGACAAATATAAAATCCCTCTGTCAAAAAAGTTACTGATATTCTTTAAATTGAGTGCCTGAACGAATCAGATAGGTAACTCTTTTTACTTTCGTGAAATAGAAAAGGAAAATAATAAAACAAGTGACAGTTCTTCCTCTTCTTGCAAAAATCAACTTAATCAACACGAAATGACATAATTGTCAAAAGTAAAATGTCATCAGCTTTTGACATTTCTAAATATCAGACCAATGCCGTCTCTAATTGAACAGCCACGGAGCGAGATTTATGACGTCACGCTAGTTAGATACCACGGATTAATAAATATGTTGTAGAATACATGGAAAACATAATTATTCCTCGTATTTTTGGTTTGTATTTTAAAAATGATATAGTTTACATGAAATATACATAATATACAGTTAATAAATACAATACATATACCTATTTATAGTAATAAATACTTTGGCAAATAAACTATGATCCATACAAATGCACCAAATGTTTTACGATATATAAATAATGAATAGATAATGGGTAAAATGTAAAATATATTTTAAATTTGGGGGTTTGAAAATCTAATTTAACAAAAAACATTCAATATCTACTAATAGTAATGTATTATTATTTACATTCACAAAATTTATATGCATATTTTGCAAGTATCAATGTTCAAAAAATTATATTTGCAAATAATACAATATCATAGAAAAAAAGGCGTCAGCGATGGCTATGAAATAAAGATCGCTGTCATTTTATATGTAAAGTTATTCTAAAATTTTTGATTTTCTTGGGATTTAGGTTCGGGAAAAACGCTGATTAAGTTTTCATTTGGTTTTTTATGTTTCGGCTAACATTATAGCCTTCATCAGTGTTGTGTCATATGAAAAAAATAGTGTCAAATATAATCCAAAAAATTATATATAAAATATTCTAAATATATGTTACTGTAAATGTCCGAAATACAGTAAAACCTAGGATTTACCAAAAGCAAGTGGTAGTAAAAACCAACCAACCCCACCAAATATCCACCTAACCAATGCATTAACACCCCCCAAATAACCAGGCTAACCAATGCATTAAGACCCTCCAAATAACCAGGCTAACCAATGCATTAACACCCTCCATATAACTAGGCTAACTTAATTAGTTAATGCTTTTGGTAAATCCTAGGTTTAGCGCGCTTATTCTAGGTTTTACCGCATTTCGGTCATTTACAGCAACATATATATTTATTTATTAATACATATTTATTAATCCGTAGTATCTAACTAGCGTGACGTCATAAATATCGCTCCGAGGCTGTTCTATTAGAGACGGCATTGCGTCAGCATGGCCGCAAGTTGCTAACCTAATAAAATTAACACTAGAAAAGCCCGCGGAAATTGTCAAGTTCAAACTTATTCGTTTCACAGACTATATTACAGGTATATTTTTAAGTTGTTTAACTTCTAATATACGTTTTTTAAAAGACAGAAAATCGACCGGAGACTGAGATAGAGCTAGATCCAAATCAGAATGTTATATTTCGCGGCCGGTTTGTCTCTAATTTATCGTTCTTTGCGCGAAACCCAGTGAAATGAAAAATGCCTTTTAAACTGACCGTAGTCGTTGCGCTATCGATCGGGCAGATATGATAAAATTAGTTTTATTTATATGATATGTTTAATAAGAGTTGACTTTTTACATTATTATACACAGCGTTGTAAAGGGAGTCGAGTGCGAGAGAACAAGAAAAAACATGTTTCATCACTTTTTGTCTCGGGGGAGCCTATGATTTTATATTTATTGCAGGCAGTCTCTTCTATATCGTCTTCTTGTTTTTATGTTATCATTTTTTTTTTGTTTAATAATATAGTAAATAATTATTTTCGATTGGCTTTTATTTTTTACCTCAACCTGTATGATAATATAGTCTCTTCTGTCCAATGGGCTCTTTCACAAAAAATAACAATACCCAATTCAAGGACAAAATCTGAGATGGAAGACTATTTTCAGTATATTTATCCAAAAAAAATAGTTCCATGACATTGAATAATGTTTTTATAGGCCCTCAAAATTGCTTTAATTTGAAATAATTTTAAAGCGCCAATTGATGACGTATGAAAAATACGCCCAATCACATTGCAGAACCGTGCTCGTGCGCCAGCCAACAACTGGCAACATTGCGATTTGATTTGACCAGCACCACCTCAACTCAAGGCCAATCAACATGATATGGGCAAGGCAAATATGGCGGTAAGGCATTATTAAATCGTTTACCTTTAAACTGAAAAGCTGGTAGTGGTTTCTCGTTCCGATTGCATACCAGAAATAATTAATTATCTATAGTTTGTTGTGCTTCTGGACCACATTTGTTTAGTTCTTAGTGTTCAGTGCATGGTGTGATCAGAAAATTGTGATAAAATAAAAGTGTAATAAACATCCAAACCAGACATTCCACATAGGGAACTACAAATTTTTGTGCTTGTCGTACTCCTCTATTATTAATTATTTTATGGTATGAACTAAAAGTATTTATCAAGATATTACACCTAAATGAGTAAAAAGCCTTCACCGCCAGTCTGCATAGTACTTTATAATGGTTATACTTACAATAATCAAAAGATAGGTATTAAAGGGTAGGTATTAACATTTTATTGTAGCATACCTTTTACATGCTCTGTTCCAAATTGTCACGAGAATTATAGAGGGGGTCCCAAGGTTTCTGCTTTTATATTTCCCAAAAATGACGAGCTTCGTAAAAAATGGTTAACAGCTATTAAAAGAGATAATTTCACTCCTACTAGTAGTTCTCGGGTAAGAAGTGCATTAAATATGCCTCAAAAAGGTCAAATGCCAAAGCCTGTGTTACCCTAGTGAGGATGTAGTTATGGCTACTGCTTACACTTACCTCACAAGGTATTGACAACATTGACATTTGAAAATATAAATGGCCTGGATGTAAGTCTTTTTTTAGGTCACAATTGCCCCTCACATACGTCAGAATTTATTATTAAATCCATCTTGTTCAGAATATCCAATATTTTATTGAAGAACTATGCAAGAAAATGAATGACGTTATAAAAAGGTATTTAGTTTTTTTTCTATATAAAATGTTGAAACACATATTATATTTTTTATTTATCCTCACCTATTATAGTTTAAATTTATTCCCATTTGTGTAATGCTGCAAAACATAGGAAAAATATTTCACATTTTTTGACCCAAGCCAGTGTAGTTTACAGCAAGAGCATTTACCAAGGCTTTTACTAAGACAAGTAACTTCCTATACTGTCCATAATAGTATATATTTATCAAACGTGCAGTAAATTCTAAACTATGGTAGGTAAGTGTTTTCAATTGAATATTTAGTTTAAATTGCTATTTTCTGTCATATATTTCTGGTTATTTCTTTTTCCGATGATTTTGAACACCCTATATATGCTACCTCAAGTTTGAATATTTACACACTAGTACACTACCTACTTATTTTCTGAGAAAGCAGACCTTTTTATAAAAAGTAACTAACTGATGTTTTCATAAAAGTAATAATACAAAAAATTCCATACTTATGTGGAGAGCTTTAG